GTCTATAACATCCTTGAGATGAACTGGGGATATATTGGCTATAACATCCTAGAGCTGAACTGAGGATATATTGGCTATAACATCCTAGAGATGAACTGAGGATATAATGGCTATAACATCCTAGAGCTGAACTGAGGATATATTGGCTATAACATCCTAGAGATGAACTGAGGATATATTGGCTATAACATCCTAGAGATGAACTGAGGATATATTGGCTATAACATCCTTGAGATGAACTGAGGATATATTGGCTATAACATCCTAGAGATGAACTGAGGATATATTGGCTATAACATCCTAGAGATGAACTGAGGATATAATGTCTATAACATCCTAGAGATGAACTGAGGATATATTGGCTATAACATCCTTGAGATGAACTGAGGATATAATGTCTATAACATCCTTGAGATGAACTGGGGATATATTGGCTATAACATCCTTGAGATGAACTAAGGATATATTTGCTATAACATCCTAGAGATGAACTGAGGATATATTGGCTATGGCATCCTTGCGATGAACTAAGGATATATTGGCTATAACATCTTTGAGATGAACTAAGAATATATTGGCTATAACATCTTTGAGATGAACTAAGGATATATTGTCTATAACATCCTAGAGCTGAACTGAGGATATGTCTATAACATCCTAGAGATGAACTGAGGATACATTGGCTATAACATCCTAGAGATGAACTGAGGATATAATGGCCATAACATCTTTAAGATGAACAGAGGATATATTGCCTTTTATCATCCAACAAAGTAACTAAGGATACAGCCAATATCCTACACACAAAGTGAAGATATAGTGAGGATATATCGTTCATAACATCCTAGTGATGAACTAAGGATATAATGTCAGTAAGATCAGATGACCTGAGACTTTGTAGTCTTCACATGGCATTACCCCTGCCTGATGTTTGTTCCCTACATAGCCCCCTGCCACACAAACCTTTCTACACTCCAAAACAGTCATAAATATTGCATTCCTTTACAGCAAGTACCAACATACCACAAGATGACCTTGTTTGCTGAGAGCTGTTCGACCATAACACTGATTCCTTAACTGTATCTGGTCACAGCACTTACCAAATTACAGATGCCATTACAGGCCCCAACTATGTATTTCAGTCTTAAACTGTAGAGGGGGCAGTAGGATAGCCTAGCTGTAAAAGCGGTCGCTCATCCATTTGCAGACCCGTGTTCAATTCCCACATGGGTGAAATGTGTGAAGATGCAGTGACATTGCTGGAATATTGTTGAAAGAGGTGTAAAACTGAACTCACTCAATCACCTGAACTGTACACCATGGAAGGTATCACTAACACCATATTCCAAATTCATTCTAATATGGCCTCAACTGTTATTACAGAGCTTAAGTCACCTTGGTTTAGGGCCACAGTATTGCAGTCAAATCAAGCATGTCAACTTCGAGATTCATACTTTCACAATATCCACCAGCAGGGGGACAAACCCAAAACCATAATCGGGGAGCAGGGGATGCTGCTCTAATAGTGCCTCACAGGTGGTGAGGTGAAATTGGGTTTTACATCGTGCTTGAGAATATTTCGCTCATATGACGACGTGCATGCGTGTGTGTGTGTATGTGCGGCTGCTTGTACTAGCCCAGAATGAAGCTGGTTTTATAGTGCTAGCCCTCTGAGATACCATGCCGCAGTGAAGCATGAATACCCCACTCAGACACATTATACTGACTCCGAGCCGACCAGTCCTTGTTGTAGCCATTAATGCTGAACGCCAGGCAGGGACCAACAAGTACCATATTTTAACGTCTTTTGGTATGACGCGGTCGGGGATCAAACCCGCGACCTTCCGCTCTCCGGGCTGACGCTCTAACCACTACACCACGGAGGCGGTCTAATAGTGCCTCACAACCCCATCAGGCAGAAATTGCAGTTCAAGCATTGTCATAGAATTTTCTCTGATGGGCAAGGTAGCAAGTAGTCTGTCATACAGGCCCTGAAGCAAATATATCCAAGAAAGCCCACACAAGTCTCGAAAATGTGGCAAGTCTAAATTTCAACATCTTCATGAAAGGAAGAATGTCTCAGGGTTCCTTTTTATCATATTATATTTTTTTTACTATGAACTTTTTTTTCTGTAAAATATGTTCATTTCAGAGACTAGTTTGTTAGTCTAGGTAGCAAGTGGTTGGGCTTTCTTCAAAGGACAAGCCACACAAAGCATCCATTACGACTAAGGCTGTAACGATTCACTCACATATTTGGTGAATCGAACCGAAGCCCTTCATGAATTCAATTCGTTATTCGTGGTCACCAGAACCGAATATTAACAAATATTTCCAATTTTTTTTTAAGGGAACATGTTTTACTTGAACCCTTGTGTACTTTTGGAAAGTGAGATATGCAAGGATTGAATATGTACTAGCATTGCAGTAGCTCAAGTCATGTTAGTTTGCCAAGGCCGCACATGGTACTGTCGACTATAACTATTACATACCAAATTTGAGTGTCATGAGATCACTGGTTAATGCTGTGACAAATCAAAACTGTCAAGATGGGCGTTCCATACTGGAAATCAATCACGTAACTACAATAGTGTATTCCTGAATAATTATTCGTATTCGTTACCCAATATTCATGATACGTATCATATTCACCACAAAGTGTATTCGTTGCAGCCCTAATTACGACCACCTACTTTTAAACATCTCCAGCATGGGCAACTGAAGGCAGCCAAGGAAACTGAAGGCATCAGGGTCTGACTCATCCACAGTTTTACAAGAACTGGTCAAAGTATCCTTCACAAGAGTGACAGAGTATCGTTTTACATTGTTTTTAGTAATATTCCAACATCAAACATGGCCTTACAGTGTAATGAAGTTAAGACAATGGTCACGCAGACAATAGCAGATAAAACAATACAGTAACACCCAATTATTCACAAAGATTCATCATTTAGGAATACCTGACTTGCCTTTGCAAGTGTTTGTGATGGGTGTCACTTTTTCACAAATATCTGGTACCACCACTACTTGAAAGTGACACAGAAACTACAGCTTATGACAGTTAGCATCAATGAACTCTGCTTTCAGCTGAGACATGTTTATTGAAAGGTTTTGTTGCTTTTGTTTATTGATGACGGAGGGACCAAGTTGAACATTACTAGTGGTGGTCCGATTTATTGAAATAATCGAAGATTGGTCGCATTGACTAAACGACCAAGCAATCGAACATGTTTTCTCATAATTGAACACGACCAATCTTGGAACACTTGTTTGCATTAACAATATTTTTCACAAGGCTGGTTTTGTCTGTGTCATTAAATTTACATTTCATAAGCACTACATGTACAAGCTCGTTCCAAGTCATGATTGAATTTATCTTAAAGAATCCAGGCTAATGTGTTCCTAACATACTAATCATCATTTAAATATGCAAAATTTGCAAATGGACTTTATGCAATTTGAAAAAAACAAACAAATTACTACATGTTTTTTCTTTATTATTTGGTGCATTAACAAAAATAACAGGAACATTTGATAAATGACGCTAACCAATTATTTTCGATCATTGATCAGTTGTAATGGACCAATCATCAATTATTAGATTTTAACCAATTGCCAACACTAAACATTACAATCAGTTCCCAAGTCAGACAGCAAACTGAACAATGAATGGATAGGAAGGAGAAGAAAGCACCAGGTGTTCAATGAGGCAGATTAGGAGATGAATACACTGTGGCCTAATAAGTAGGTATACAAGCAGCTGTAATGTGTTTCTAATCCCCACCCCCAGCCTTAGACATTGCCAACAAACCATGATGAAACTTGGTAAGCAACATCGCCTGACGATGGTTGTCAGTGGTAACCATCCATGTAGGACTGCAGCTTTAACTGATCCTATAAGTAGGCCTTCTTTTCAAGTAAGAACTGGGCCGACATGCTCAGCAAAGAACTGAGCATACTTGGTACAGGGCATACAATACAGGGTTTAGCAAGGTCAGAACACTATCTTGAGCTTTTGATGAAAGACTCTTCAGGAAATCCCTAGGAAACATGAACCTCAATTACAGTTTATCTTTGTCGGGATCAAGGTAATAATAATAATACCCTTTGACGAACTTTACAACTTTTCTGCATCCAAAACTGACCGTCTGCATCAGTGCTGTGTATGACTAAGCTATATCTGAAAATACTGGAATACAGTCCACTAGAGCTGCGGCTGAGCACACTTGACCTGTTCAAACAGACGACCTATCCACTCACACTGTTTGAAACTAAGCAGGAATGTCAAGTGGTCCTTGTCACAACCCTAATGTTCAACTCACAGATTTAGGAGGTCCCTACATTCATGTTATATTGCTGTATACGTCAAGGTCGCCCTTGACATCAAACCTCAATTTTGAACATTGTATTGAATCTAGCTTAAATCTGTTGTTGCCCAAAAAAGCCTATGACACTGACATCCGCTGATGATGACCTTTAAACAGTTGCTTATCGCTATGTTGGTTAGCCAACCAGTCTTGAACTGACACTTTTGACAGACTTACCAAGCAAATTTAGAGCAAATCCAGCATTATCTGTCAGAGCAGACAAAACACAGACACTGGAGAAAAAGACAACTACCATTTATGAAAATGACCCCTTGACAATCTCAAACACACACTTCAAACATCCACAAAACAAAAAACAGGTGTAATTAATTCTGTAACAAACAGGCTTATATGTCAGATGTTCATCATAGCCACTTGCCATTCTTCATACTGCACCTACTGCACTGTCCTCAAAACCATTACCGCAGGAGGGAGAGAGTCAGTGAGTTGGATTTTATGCTGCTCTGAACAATATTCAAATTAAATCAGCTTAAAGTGAATGTCAAGCCCAAAGTGATGCAGGTCACGGATTGTGGTTGTTTTTGTAATACATGGTTATGATGCCGATCAAGCATAAATATATTCAGAAGGAATCACCTCTGGAAGGAACATACAGATTAAAAGTTCACTCACCACAAAGAGATGTTTACGGCTGGTTGAGGTAAGTCCAACAAGTTCCACCTTCCACTTTACTGCAAGTTCAGAATACAGCACAAATACTAGAGGGCGCTGGAACTTGTCAGGAACATCTGAAACAATTAGACAAATCACAGATCTATAAGAACAGGACACAGATCTGCAATAAGAGGGCACTTCACAGTCAGATGTTAAACAATAGCGCACTTCACAGTCAGTTGTTAAACAATAGCGCACTTCAGTCAGTTGTTAAACAATAGCGCACTTCACAGTCAGTTGTTAAACAATAGGACACTTCACAGTCAGATGTAAAAATAGGACACATCACAATCAGATGTGAAAATAGGGCACTTCACAGTCAGATGGGAAACAATAGGGCACATCACAATCAGATGGGAAACAATAGGGCACATCACAGTCGGATGGGAAAATAGGGCACTTCACAATCAGATGGGAAGCAATAGGGCACATCACAATCTGATGGGAAACAATAGGGCACTTCACAGTCAGATGGGAAACAATAGGGCACTTCAGTCAGATGGGGAACAATAGCGCACTTCAGTCAGATGGAAAATAATAGGGCACATCACAGTCAGATATGAAACAATAGGGCACTTCACAGTCACTTGTTAAACAATAGCGCACATCACAATCAGATGTCAAAATAGGGCACTTCACAGTCAGTTGTTAAACAATAGGGCACTTCACAGTTAGATGTAAAACAATAGGGCACTTCACAGTCAGATGGGAAACAAAGGGATACATCAGTCAGATGGGAAACAAAAGGGCACTTCACAGTCATATGGGAAACAATACTATAGGGCACTTCACAGTCATATGGGAAACAATAGGGCACTTCACAGTTAGATGGGACACAAAGGGATACATCAGTCAGATGGGAAACAATAGGGCACTTCACAGCTAGATATTAAACAATAGGGCACTTCACAATCAGATGTCAAAATAGGGCACTTCACAGTTAGATGTTTAACAATAGGGCACTTCACAGTCAGATGGGACACAAAGGGATACATCAGTCAGATGGGAAACAATAGGGCACTTCACAGCTAGATATTAAACAATAGGGCACTTCACAGCTAGATGTGAAACAATAGGGCACTTCACAATCAGATGGGAAGCAATAGGGCACATCACAATCTGATGGGAAACAATAGAGCACTTCACAGTCAGATGGGAAACAATAGGGCACTTCACAATCAGATGGGACTTCACAGTCAGTACACTCACAGTCAGATGTTAAACAATAGGGCACTTCACATTCAGATGGGACACAAAGGGATACATCAGTCAGATGGGAAACAATAGGACACTTCACAGTCAGATGGGTAACAATAGGGCACTACACAGTCAGATGGGTAACAATAGGGCACTACACAGTTAGATGTTTAACAGTCAGATGGGTAACAATAGGGCACTTCACAGTCAGATGGGTAACAATAGGGCACTTCACAGTCAGATGGGTAACAATAGGGCACTTCACAGTCAGATGGGTAAAATAGGGCACTTCACAGTTAGATGGGTAACAATAGGGCACTTCACAGTCAGATGGGTAACAATAGGGCACTACACAGTCAGATGGGTAACAATAGGGCACTTCACAGTCAGATGGGAAACAATAGGGCACTTCACAGTCAGATGGGAAACAATAGGGCACTTCACAGTTAGATGTGAAACAATAGGGCACTTCACAGTTAAATGTGAAACAATAGGGCACTTCACAGTCAGATGGGAAACAATAGGACACTTCACAGTCAGATGGGTAACAATAGGGCACTACACAGTCAGATGGGTAACAATAGGGCACTTCACAGTCAGATGGGTAACAATAGGGCACTTCACAGTCAGATGGGTAACAATAGGGCACTTCACAGTCAGATGGGTAACAATAGGGCACTTCACAGTCAGATGGGTAACAATAGGGCACTTCACAGTCAGATGGGTAACAATAGGGCACTACACAGTCAGATGGGTAACAATAGGGCACTTCACAGTCAGATGGGAAACAATAGGGCACTTCACAGTCAGATGGGAAACAATAGGGCACTTCACAGTTAGATGTGAAACAATAGGGCACTTCACAGTTAAATGTGAAACAATAGGGCACTTCACAGTCAGATGGGTAACACAGTCAGATGGATGTAACAATAGGGCACTTCACAGTCAGATGGGTAACAATAGGGCACTTCACAGTCAGATGGGTAACAATAGGGCACTTCACAGTCAGATGGGTAACAATAGGGCACTTCACAGTCAGATGGGTAACAATAGGGCACTACACAGTCAGATGGGTAACAATAGGGCACTTCACAGTCAGATGGGTAACAATAGGGCACTTCACAGTCAGATGGGTAACAATAGGGCACTTCACAGTCAGATGGGAAACAATAGGGCACTTCACAGTTAAATGTGAAACAATAGGGCACTTCAGTCAGATGGGTAACAATAGGGCACTTCAGTCAGATGGGTAACAATAGGGCACTACACAGTCAGATGGGTAACAATAGGGCACTTCACAGTCAGATGGGTAACAATAGGGCACTTCACAGTCAGATGGGTAACAATAGGGCACTTCACAGTCAGATGGGTAACAATAGGGCACTTCACAGTCAGATGGGTAACAATAGGGCACTACACAGTCAGATGGGTAACAATAGGGCACTACACAGTCAGATGGGTAACAATAGGGCACTACACAGTCAGATGGGTAACAATAGGGCACTACACAGTCAGATGGGAAACAATAGGGCACTTCACAGTCAGATGGGTAACAATAGGGCACTTCACAGTCAGATGGGTAACAATAGGGCACTTCACAGTCAGATGGGTAACAATAGGGCACTACACAGTCAGATGGGTAACAATAGGGCACTACACAGTCATGTATAAAACAAAGACTACAAACCTGGATCAAGGATGCTCATTGGTTCCACGCGCAGATTCACCTGAATCCGTTTCTCTTTGACCTTGACATTGATGATATGGACTTCCTGCCCCTTGTTGGACGTCATGTTGGTGGTACATCCCTTCCCCATGGTGTAGTTCATCAAATGGGCCTTCACAAAGGGAGAGTCAAAAGGGGAGGTAATCACGCATTTGGTCTTGCTTTTTGAGGCTGAAAATAAAAGATATAGTTTACATATTTAGCAGGGAGAATATAATACATTCAGAGGAAGACTTGTACATGGTCAACTTTAGTGAACACTATTTTTGTACACCAGACTCTTCACTGTTTCAAACCTACAGTCGACATGATCATTTAACAGTGTATTATCAAGATTTACAAAGTAAACATCTTTGGCTGGTGAACTGGAAAAACAAGGACTATTTTTAAATAGTTCACAATTGGACTTCACTTCTGTCAGATTCAGATGTGTTTCAACTCCACGTTCAGTACAATAGGGTTATACTGAGTATTGAAGTACTTCATCTTCTGGTCACATTATCAGCAGAATACCAGTCGCCTACAGAAATATTATAACAGGAATCGCGATATCTATAATCACATTTGGGAATATTTTTTCAGTATTCTAAATAAATGCACCTGGGAGGGAAAATGTGAAATATTCATCATGAACCTAGCAGTTCCGATGACTTTGGTCTGAATAATGGCTTCTAAGCAGGTTGAACTATATCTGTGAGTTTTGTGTCAGTGTATGAAATTGTTTTCTTCGTTCTTGTATAAAGTTCTTCATCAATCTAGCATGGATCGGTCTCCAGTAAAAGTGGGGCAACAAACAGTATTCAAACAAGCTTGCTGAAGGTATTTCAACACGTAGGTCGTCACTTAAGTACTCAAGGCTCTGTTTTACCCATTAAAACAATTCCGCGCCTGTGTTTAACATACACTACCAAGTTATTTGATACGGCAGGGATGGGATAAGGTCTAGTGAGCATACAGCCTTTGGTGAAAAAAGGAAAAAACATCAAAGTTATATATAGGCCAGTGATGTGGAGCCTATTTGGAGGCAGAAGAGGGATGGGGTAATACTACATGAGGACAATGATGAGTGCAAGCTGGCCACCCTGATTCCTGATTGCCCTGGTTACCAGCCCTCCCCAAACACTTGACTCCCTTGTACCCAACCCTACCCTGGCACCTGACCCCCTAGTACCAAACCCTACCCAAGCACTAGACCCCTCAGTACACAGCCTAACCCAGGCATTCGCCCCTCTCGTACCCAACCCTACCCTAGCATCCGACCCCTCGGTACCCAACCCTACCCTGGCACCTGACCCCCTAGTACCAAACCCTACCCAAGCACGGGACCCCTCAGTACACAGCCTAACCCAGGCACCTGACCCCTCGGTACCCAAACCTACCCTAGCATCCAACCCCCTAGAACCCAACCTTACCATAGCACCTGACCCCTCAGTACACAGCCTAACCCAGGCACCTGACCCCTCGGTACCCAACCCTACCCAAACTGGAAAGTGTTTTACTAGAACCTCATTAGACATAATTATGAAATTATGCATACACTGAAACTGTATCTCTACACAAACTTATAAGACCATGAAGGCAAGAGTGCATAGCCCACATTAGCAACTAGCAGTGTAACGATGTTGTGGTTACTGCCGTTAACAGCTTGTCACTTGACTAGGCACTAGGGTGTGTAGTCCTGGGTCCTACACAAGTTACCCATCCCAGCCATGGCTCATCCAAGTACAGAGAGATGGGATTACACTGAATAGGGACCACTGGCCGATGTTCAAGTAATTACAGGAATTTATATGGAGGAGTCCCTTTGTATGTCAGTGTTCTGTTATCACCCTGCATTACCGCCTCATGTTTCAATGGGCAACCTCAAAGGGCACATTGCTATTCAGTGGAGATTAGAAGGGGTTTCATACCATTCACACTTGGCTTCCTTCTTCCACAACACATGGAAAAAACATATATTTTTTAGTCGTTCACCTTGCTGTCAGTGCCGATGGATATGACAATATGGGGCAGGTGAGACGTGAGTACATGTCGACAAACGAGGGGTATGGGCTTGCTGTCCAGGTCGGAGACTACGTGTGTGATGTAGTGTAAACACGCTAAAGTGGAAGGTGCCTAATGTGTCGCAAACAAGTAGTTCCCACTCTCCAGCCATGCCACGGAGACCTCCCTGGGTCTGAATCTAGAGGACTTTATCTGCCCCGCCTCAGAATGATGAATTGCCCATTTAGGTTTACAACTGACTGATTTCAGCAATGACTCCATTGTACTGTTATTCTTTCAACTCTGTCAAATCTGTTGGCAAGCCTCAGAGTGTCAATACACGTGGTAGGCTCTAGTCCTATACAGGGTTAAGCAAGCAGTTCGCTGCAGGGACAGAGCGTGTGACTACAGTACTGGGTGTAAACAGTCTTGCTCACAGTCCAGTGCACGTTCTTCAAAAGGCATTAAAAATAGATGCCACCCATATCCGAATGTGTCTGTAACATTCCTTTTATCAACAGGTATATTCCATAAAAAAATAAAGGTTGTACCTAGGTTGCCCATATTGGAGGGGTCAGATGCACTATTGGGTCACACACGTCATCGTATGCCAATTTTGAGATCGATGCTCATGCTGTTGATCACTGGACTGTTGGTCCAGACTTGATTATTTACAGACTGTCGCAATATAGCTGGAATATTGCTGAGTTCGGCGTTAGACAACACACCATCCAATCAACTATTGGGTCACAGTTCAGTGTCTACCAGTAGCAGCGCAGCTTTTATGTCAATTTGGAATGACAGTGTTCCATTTCTACAAAATAAATTTTATGCAAATTGAATGAGAATATACCCAAACAATGACACATGATATTTTTAATGCCGAACCCATCGCAGGGTAATAACAAGTACCATCTTTTAATGCCTTCATGCATGATGCCGCTGGGAACGGAACCTCCAGGCAGGCACTGTTTCTGTTACACCACGGAGGCAAATTGTCTATCTGCTACACCATGGAGTCAGAAGCCCTACCACAACATGAGACAATCTGAAGGTGAGATGGATATTGGTATCACAATGATGACAAATGTATGCGAACTCAAACACAACCATTCTCACAACTAATTCATATGCTCAATCAACAGCAGAAATAAGTGTCACCTCCCAAAACAGTGAGTGAGCGAGTGAGTGAGTATGATTTTACGTCGCTTTTAGCAATATTCCAGCAATATCACGGCAGGAGACACCAGAAATGGGCTTCACATTGTACTCATGTGGGGAATCGAACCCGGCTCTTCGGCTTGACGGTCGAATGCTTTAACCACTCGGCTACCAAACCGCCCCGTTCCCAAAAGAATGTTGACACTTTATTCTTAAAAGGATCCATACTTTAAAAATCTCAATGGGAATGAGGTGATGGCTTGAGAGACGTGGTTGAGAAAAATGTACGCAAGCTGCATGCTTCCTGTAATTAATTCATTCCTAACAAAACAAGCTCCAGATAATAGGTAAACAGAGGAAAAGTAGACAATCATGCAGGAAGTGGCTTCCTGAGATTACTTCCCCTTGTACCTGATGACTCCATCATCCAGGTGAGTATAGGCCAATCACGTTACCCTGGTCGATCAGTCACCTGTACCACTCAAATCGATCTCAGTTTGAGATCGGTCAACTCTACCATACAATGTGCGATCCATCACAAACCTGTACCACACAATGAACGATGGATCAGCTGCTTGTATCACACAAGTGATGGATCAGTTGCCTGTACCACACAAGTCATGGATCAGCTGCCTGTACCACACAAGTGATGGATCAGTTGCCTGTACTACACATCAAGTCATGGATCAGCTGCCTGTATCACACAAGTGATGGATCAGCTGCCTGTACCACACAAGTGATGTTTCAGCTGCCTGTACCACACAAGTGATGGATCAGCTGCTTGTATCACACAAGTCAAGGATCAGTTGCCTGTACCACACAAGTGATGGATCAGCTGCCTGTATCACACAAGTGATGGATCAGCTGTGTGTACCACACAAGTGATGGATCAGTTGCCTGTATCACACAAGTGATGGATCAGCTGCTATTATCACACAAGTGATGGATCAGCTGCCTGTATCACACAAGTCATGGATCAGCTGCCTGTACCACACAAATGATGGGTCAGCTGCCTGTACCACACAAGTGATGGATCAGCTGCCTGTATCACACAAGTGATGGATCAGTTGCCTGTATCACACAAGTGATGGATCAGCTGCCTGTACCACACAAGTCATGGATCAGCTGCCTGTACCACACAAGTCATGGATCAGCTGCCTGTACTACACAAGTGATGGATCAGCTGCCTGTACCACACAAGTCATGGATCAGCTGCCTGTATCACACAAGTGATGGATCAGCTGCCTGTATCACACAAGTGATGGATCAGCTGCCTGTATCACACAAGTGATGGATCAGCTGCCTGTACCACACAAGTGATGGATCAGTCACATGTACCATCAATGGAGGTAATTAGCATCAACTAGGATAGTCCGAAGGGATAATAAGCATATCCTATATTTGTCAACAGAGATAATCATCACCCATACCAGTTCATGAAGGAAACTAGCATCCCCAATGTCAGTCAACACATGTAATAAACATCACCTATGACTGTCAACAGATGTAATGAGCATCACCAATGTCAGTCAACACATGTAATAAACATCACCTATGTCTGTCAACAGAGGAAATAAGCATCACCCATGTCAGTCAACAGATGTAATAAGCATCTTCTACCTCTGTCAACAGAGGAAATAAGCACTTGTGCATGTTAACCAAAGTAATGAGCATCACCTACATTTATCGAAGGAGGTAATAAGCATCACCTATGTCCATCAAACGAGGTCATAAGCATCAACTATGTCCCACAACGGGTGTAATAAACATCACGTATGCCCATCAATGGAGGTGATAACATTCTTTATACACCCCAATCAGTGCCACATTAGACTGATATCTTATTCTAGCCACACATCTTCATTTCATTACTAGGCAACTGTATACTTCATTCTAAATGGACCAGCATATTGGCCCAACGTGGAGCCAGTGTCAGGTTTTGCTTCTCAGGCAGTACAGGAGATCATGGAGATTGAATATCAAGATTTCATTATTTGATAGTACAAGATTTCAGTTTAAGGTACCAT